ACTAAACAAAATGCCTACTTGGATGTAGGCAATAGCTATGAGAATAGGTACAAAGATACAAACACTACTTAATAAAAACTCAAAAACATGCACAGAGTTAATATTTGATTTACTGTGGATATTTAAGAACTGAAGGACACTTATGATTGCACAAAATGTAAAAGCAAATCAACAGAGTTAAACACAGTTAAACTCACTATGCCAAGTACCTTCAGTTAAATATGTGTGTGTGTGTGTATATATATATATATATATATATATTTCAGTAAGTCCACTCTACTAATAACTTAAGAAATAATATTTTTAGGCCGGGCGCAGTGGCTCAAGCCTGTAATCCCAGCACTTTGGGAGGCCGAGACGGGTGGATCACGAGGTCAGGAGATTGACACCATCCTGGCTAACACGGTGAAACCCCGTCTCTACTAAAAAATACAAAAAACTAGCCGGGCGTGGTGACGGGCGCCTGTAGTCCCAGCTACTCAGGAGGCTGAGGCAGGAGAATGGCGTGAACCCGGGAGGCGGAGCTTGCAGTGAGCTGAGATCTGGCCACTGCACTCCAGCCTGGGTGACAGAGCGAGACTCCGTCTCAAAAAAAAAAAAAAAAAGAAAGAAAAAGAAAAGAAATAATATTTTTAAAAGAAGGCTGGGTGTGGCAGGTGGATCACCTGAGGTCAGGAGTTCGAGACCAGCCTGGCCAACATGGTGAAACCTCATCTCTACTAAAAAAAAAAAAAAAATTAGCCAGTCATGGTGGTGCATGCCTGTAGTCCCAGCTACTTGGGAGCCTGAGGCAGGAGAATCGCTTGAACCCAGGAGGTGGAGGTTGCAGTGAGCCGAGATCATGCCGTTGCACTCCAGACTGGACAAGAGTGAAACTCCATCTCAAAACAAAAAGCAAAAAAACCTTTGCCTCTCAGCACTGATATTTTGCCTGAAGATTGAAAATAATATTTCCTCTAAATCTGAATATTTAGATAATAATAAAAATTAAAAGAGAAAATATTATCAATCTATAAATAAATAACATAAAATCTAAATAAGACCAGGCACGGTGGCTCATGCCTGTAATCTCAGCACTTTGGGAGGCCCAGGCAGGCAGATCATGAGGTCAAGAGATCGGGACCATCTTGGCCAACATGGTGATACCCCGTCTCTACTAAAAATATAAAAATTAGCTGGGCATGGTGGCATGTGCCTGTAATCCCAGCTACTTGGGAGGCTAAGGTACGATAATCACTTGAACCAGGGAGGCGGAGGTTGCAGTGAGTTGAGATCATGCCGCTGCACTCCAGTCTGGGGGACAAGAGTGAAGCTCCATCTCAAAAAATAAATAAATAAATAAATCTAAATGAATGATTCACCCATCTCTGTTCCATAATCAAGACCAACAAGGTTAAAAGTCAATTGTTTTAATACTATCTCTCAACTACACTCTCTAAGTTTACCTTTATTTTTTCTCCATCATCATTTAATGAAGGATTATATCTTCAAACTGTGTTAAAGATACCTGTGATATATGCATGCTTATCTTGAGTGTATGATGTGTATGTGTATGTTTTGGATGAAAATGGACAGGGCAGGAAAAAAATGAAGACTGAGGTAAGTTTGTAAGGAGTACATGTAAATAGGAGAGGAAAATCTAGTTAATTTTTTGTTTTCTTTTTCGGATAATTTTATGTACAAATATTTGACCATATGACTAAGTACCAAACACATATATTAGTGAAAGAAAGATAGAAGGCAGACTTCTAATTTTAAAATGTTGAACATTTAATATAATCCCTCCTCTTACACTAAATTCATAAAAATTAAGGAAAATGTATTGTTTAAATAAAAATATCTATGGTGAAAGCTACAGAAATAATAATTAGTCTTTGAAAAATATGAGCAGAAAGAAAGAGGTCACAGCCCATGATTCCCTCAGGAAAGTTCTAACCCAGGAGGTGAGACCAACAAGACAAATGCTCCACGCCTGGAAGGAATGAAATCCAGGAGCAGGAGGGGTACCCAAGATCCATTGGCAGGATGATTAGTTGGAGTCCCACAAAGGGAGAACCCAGACAGGTCAGTCCCTGAGTATCTCTCTCCTCTCCCTCCTATAAGACAAATAGCAATATCTATCTCCGCAAAGGAAAGATGAATACAGCACTTATTGCAGAGAAATAGGGCAGTGTATTAGAGAGCTGGTGACACCAAAAGAAATGAGATGCACTCATACCGAGAGACCAGTCACCAAGTTACTCCACCACTCATAACACTCTTCAATAGATTTAGACAGAATGTAGGGAAAAACTATTTCAGTAAGTAATAGCCTAAAATTTTCCAGAACTTCATGAAGACATGAAACTACACAATGGGTCAGTGAATGCCATGCAAAATTAAAACCACAGGTACTAGATGGTGAAATCTTAGAATAACAAGAATAAAAAGGAAATTCCTGACACTACTAGAGAGAAAAGAAAGATTCCTTACAGGAAAATAAGAACAAGATTGATATCAGACTTTTCATCAGCATACTACTTGCAATTAAACACTTGAGTAAAACATTGAGTTGGAAAATATATATATATATACACACACATATATATATATACACACACACACACATATATATATTTGAATCTAGAATTCTGTCCCTAGTCAAATTAGCAACTAAACAAAGCCACTTTCAGAGATAACAATAACTGAGAATTTGATGGTCTTGTTTCCCAGTTCTATGTGAGTTTAGTTTAATATTAAATATTTAATTACACTTTAGCTATATTTCTGATATAATATATGGCTGATCTTACTCCTGGGTCTTCTGTCAATGGCCTACTATGTATGAATATATTCATTATTTTCTCTGTTAGTAAAGAGATTCTTTCGAAGCTTCACTCAGTTGAAAGGTTAATATGCTTATTTTAGACTTACGTTCTTTGCCTCTTCTCTACCCTACAAAGAATAATCTCCTAGATTTTAGATTTACTTGAAGCCTCATGTCTCTGGCCTAATGCCCATCTCAAAAACCCATCTTTCCAAACAACACTGCAAGTCTGACAGTCTGACTCTGACTGAGTCATGGCCTCTCCCAAAGTGGCTCATTCAAGCACTACTTAAACCTTGGTTAGGGCCGTAGCATACTAAATTTTTAGTAGCATACAAGATTATATGTTCTTTTAAAATTTCAGGCTACAATGTGCCAATAAAAAATCATAAAGAATAAAAGCACACAATTTACTAGCTGTGTGACGTAAGGCATGTTTAGTAAAACATGCCTAAACCTATTTTTATTACATAAGGAGAATACCTTTTTTTCCCCAGGGTTATTGTGCAAAACAAATGACATGATATATATATATAAGAGGCCAAACAATGCTGTCAATAAATATGAATGTTCTCTTCTTCCTCCTTCTTAATGACAGGGCAAGTTCTGCAGGTAGAGAAAAATGAATTCATTTTATCTTAAAAAATAATTTGGGAAATAAAAATAAAAATGCATGTTTCCAGTGCATGAATAAAGAAAAGTTAAAAATGAGTTGACTGTATAAGGTGATATTCTAATTTACCCATGTTGCCATCTGTAAATGCTCATTTAAAACCAAATTACCTAATATTTCTTAAGTATATAAAATATTTAGACCCTCTCAATGCAATCATATCATACAATTATACAATATATTTGTGTAACTAAAGTATATAACCAGAAAACTTACTTGTTAATTTATAGTGAGAAACATTGTCAATCTGGTCAAGTGGACCATATTTTTCACGTTGACCAGCAAACTTTTTCTTAATGAGAAAATCAAATTATCAGAATATTTCTTAGCATAAATTCAGCACCATAGACATTAGTTATGTAATTCCAAGGTACCTGATACATCTTCCTGCCCAATGGATATCTACATGCTAGGTTACTCAAAAACAAGGTAGTCTGATCTCTCACCTCTTCTTCAGCATAGTGTTCACTTCTTGCGGCCGGTGTTAGACTTCAAGACTCTACTTGTGTCAACTTTGTGGCTGGCCAGTCAGCCTTCTGGCTGAATTGTTCTTCAAATTTGTTTTGCCTTCCAACAGGGTTACTGTTTCATTTTATTGCTCTGATAGTCACCTCTAAGATGACTTTGGATATGGGCTTATTTAACAGGTTAGCCCTCGGAAGTTAGTTGTTTTCTTTTAATCAAATGGATTATCTAGTGCAGGATGAACTTTAAATTTTGAAGCAGGAGAAGTTTCCAATGAGAAGTTGGCATGTGGTTTTCCTGCATTCTGATGTGGAAATTGAGTGAGCCCTTTTACTCTTGTACTCAAGTAGCTTTCCATTATTCTTGAAGACACTCCTGAATGTCAGGGAATAGTCCCACCAGAGCCAAGCAGTACCCTGGGAAACACTCCAAACAATGTGGTAGAAAAATACATGCTGGGCCGGGCACAGTGGCTCAGGCCTGTAATCCCAGCACTCTGGGAGGCCGAGGCGGATCAGGAGGTCAGGAGATTGAGACCATCCTGGCTAACACGGTGAAACCCCGTCTCTACTAAAAAATACAAAAAATTAGCCGGGCGTAGTGGTTGGCGCCTGTAGTCCCAGCTACTCAGGAGGTTGAGGCAGGAGAATGGCTTGAACCTGGGAGGTGGAGCTGGCTGTGAGCCAAGATCGTGCCACTGCGCTCCAACCTGGGTGATAAAGCGAGACTCCATCTCAAAAAAAAAAAAAAAAGAAAAAGAAAAAGAAAAAGAAATACATGCTAACATCTAGTAAGCAAATAGGGTCTTTTTTCATAATTATATAGATATAAAAGTGATGCATAACCTCATTATGTAGTGATAGGTATGGGATATGATGAGGTTTCTCTTCAAATAATCTGATCAATCTTTTATTCTTCAATTCATAATACCTCCCCTTTTTTCCTCCTGTTTCTCCTTTTTTCCTTTATTAAATGCCCAGGCACACCACAGTACCAGGCATTATTAGTACCACCTCGCATTCCTTTCCTTATTTTAAAAAAAAGACTAGAGAGCGCCCTGAGGACTCAGCGGAGGGTGGGCGCTGCCGTGGCCTCCTGCCGCCGGCGGGTTTCCGCAGAGTGCAGCCCGGCTCCGCGCTGCCGCGGCCGCGGCCCATGGGCAGAGTCTGCCGGGCGGGCCAGCATTAAACTGAAGAAAAGATGTCCCTGTACGATGACCTAGGAGTGGAGACCAGTGACTCAAAAACAGAAGGCTGGTCCAAAAACTTCAAACTTCTGCAGTCTCAGCTTCAGGTGAAGAAGGCAGCTCTCACTCAGGCAAAGAGCCAAAGGACGAAACAAAGTACAGTCCTCGCCCCAGTCATTGACCTGAAGCGAGGTGGCTCCTCAGATGACCGGCAAATTGTGGACACTCCACCACATGTAGCAGCTGGGCTGAAGGATCCTGTTCCCAGTGGGTTTTCTGCAGGGGAAGTTCTGATTCCCTTAGCTGACGAATATGACCCTATGTTTCCTAATGATTATGAAAAAGTAGTGAAGCGCCAAAGAGAGGAACGACAGAGACAGCGGGAGCTGGAAAGACAAAAGGAAATAGAAGAAAGGGAAAAAAGGCGCAAAGACAGACATGAAGCAAGTGTGTTTGCAAGGAGACCAGATCCAGATTCTGATGAAGATGAAGATTATGAGCGAGAGAGGAGGAAAAGAAGTATGGGCGGTGCTGCCATTGCCCCACCCACTTCTCTGGTAGAGAAAGACAAAGAGTTACCCCGAGATTTTCCTTATGAAGAGTACTCAAGACCTCGATCACAGTCTTCCAAAGCTGCCATTCCTTCCCCAGTGTACGAGGAACAAGACAGACCGAGATCTCCAACTGGGCCTAGCAACTCCTTCCTGGCTAACATGGGGGGCACGGTGGCGCACAAGATCATGCAGAAGTACGGCTTCCAGGAGGGCCAGGGTCTGGGGAAGCACGAGCAGGGGCTGAGCACCGCCTTGTCAGTGGAGAAGACCAGCAAGCGTGGCGGCAAGATCATCGTGGGTGACGCCACAGAGAAAGATGCATCCAAGAAGTCAGATTCGAATCCACTGACTGAAATACTTAAGTGTCCTACTAAAGTGGTCCTACTAAGGAACATGGTTGGTGCGGGAGAGGTGGATGAAGACTTGGAAGTTGAAACCAAGGAAGAATGTGAAAAATATGGCAAAGTTGGAAAATGTGTGATATTTGAAATTCCTGGTGCCCCTGATGATGAAGCAGTACGGATATTTTTAGAATTTGAGAGAGTTGAATCAGCAATTAAAGCGGTTGTTGACTTGAATGGGAGGTATTTTGGTGGACGGGTGGTAAAAGCATGTTTCTACAATTTGGACAAATTCAGGGTCTTGGATTTGGCAGAACAAGTTTGATTTTAAGAACTAGAGCACGAGTCATCTCCGGTGATCCTTAAATGAACTGCAGGCTGAGAAAAGAAGGAAAAAGGTCACAGCCTCCATGGCTGTTGCATACCAAGACTCTTGGAAGGACTTCTAAGATATATGTTGATTGATCCCTTTTTTATTTTGTGGTTTTTTAATATAGTATAAAAATCCTTTTAAAAAAACAAAAAATAAAATAAAAAATAAAATAAATAAATAAAAAAAAGACTAACTTTCTAGTTCATTACAGACAACCCTTGCCCTTCCCCTCTCCACTTCCTTTTTTTTTTTTTTTTTTTTTTTTAAAAAAAAAGACTAACTTTCTAGTTCATTACAGACAACCTTTGCCCTTCCTCTCCACTTCTTTTTTTTTTTTTTTTTTTTTTTGAGGAGGAGTCTCGCTCTGTCACCCAGGCTGGAGTGCAGCAGGGCAATCTTGGCTCACTGCAAGCTCTGCCTCCCGGGTTCACACCATTCTCCTGCCTCAGCCTCTGGAGTAGCTGGGACTACAGGCACCTGCCACCATGCCCGGCTAATTTTTTTGTATTTTTAGTAGAAATAGGTTTTCACTGTGTTAGACAGGATGATCTCGATCTCCTGACCTCGTGATCCAGCCACCTCGGCCTCCCAAAGTGCTGGGATTACAGGTGTGAGCCACCGTGCCCAGCCTTACTCTCCACTTTCTTCTACGTGCCCACTCTGCCTAAAAAAATATCAAATGCTTAGCCAACCGGGATTGATTTAGATTGTACGACCCGACCCTGGCCAATAAAAAAAGGGTACAGGGCAGGACTTTGTGTCAGAAGTAAAGGTTCTTGTGTCCCTTTGTCCAGGTGTGCTCTCATGGCAACTAGTTAAGGAGGCACCCCTCAGCGCAGAAGTAAAGTTGCTTTGCTAAGAATCCTTTTTCCGAGTGTTCAATTTCCTTAGGATTTTGAGCGTTATTCCTAACACAGGCTAATGGGGCTGGTGACATACGTGTTGCACAAGTTCTGAAAGGATCATCTCATGGTCATTCGTGTACATCTATCTACAACCACTTTCTCACTTGTTTTCCCTCAACCTTACCCTGCATATGAAGTTTGACTTAGAGCAAAAATCAAACAATTTACCTGTGGAAGTAGTAAATAGGGAAAAAATAAAAATAAAAAAAATGGTGGTTTTTTTATTTTTGTTTTTTGTTTTGAGACAGAGGCTGTCTCTGTTGCCCAGGTTGTTGTGCAGTGGCGTGAGTTCGGCTCACTGCAACCTCCACTTGCCTGGTTCAAGTGATTCTTGTGCTCAGCCTCCCTAGTAGCTGGGATTACAGGCATGCACCATCATGCCCGGCTAATTATTGTATTTTCAGTAGAAACTGGATTTCACCATGTTGCCCAGGCTGATCTCAAACTCCTGGCCTCAAGGGATCTGCCCACCTCAACCTCCAAAGTGCTGGGATTACAGGGATGAGCCACTGTGCCTGGCCTATGGTGTGGTTGTTTGATTGCTTGCTTGTTTGTTTGTGTGTTTGTTTGTTTGTTTGTTTGTTTTGAGATGGAGTCTCACTCTGTCACCCAGGGTGGAATGCAGTGATGCAATCTTGGCTCACTGGAGCCTCTACCTCCTAGGTTCAAGTGATTCTCCTGCCTCAGCCTCCCTAGTAGCTGGAATTACAGGCACCTGCCACCATACCTGGGTAGCATTTTTGTATTTTTAGTAGAGTTGGGGTTTCACTATGTTGGCCAGGCTGGTCTCAAACTCCTGACCTCAGGTGATTCACCCACCTCAGCCTCCCAAAGTGCTGGGATTATAGGCGTGAGTCACCACACCTGGCCGGTGGTGTGTTTTTTTAAAGGTTATAAAGTATCCTTGATTGAAATGTGGGTTACACTTTTTCACAAAGAGCACATTTTTAACCTTACTTTCTTTTGTTGTCATCCATATGAATATTTTGAAACTCTATTGAATAGAATCATACAGAATGAAATTTTGTGTATTACATAATTGACAATATATAAGTCATTTATGCTATTGTATTTACATTTGAAAGGATCTGCTGCACCATATTTCGAGACTGGGAATTTTAACAAAAGTTGAAATACTGTGATTGGATATAATATGGAAGTGAGGTGAGTATATTTGCTTTGAAAGGAATTTCATTAACACAAGTGGCTGAGTCCCAGCTGTACATCATTATGTACCAAGGTGTGGTGTTTCAGTTTTTCTAGAGTCATTTCTGAACCCAAGCTACCTAATGTCATGGAGACGACAAAGTCTGCCATAGAACTAGGGAAAGATATCAAGGTTTCCATGTTGGGTTATTTTGAAAAGACCCATATATTTATGTGACTGATTTTTAATTCATTTTATAATTATGAACTATGCCTATAAATAATGTCTACCGATTATGCCAGGCCTCTGAGCCCAAACCAAGCCATCGCATCCCCTGTGACTTGCATGTATACTCCCAGATGGCCTGAAGTAACCGAAGAATCACAAAAGAAGTGCAAATGCCCTGCCTCGCCTTAACCGATGACATTCCACCACAAAAGAAGTGAAAATGGCCAGTCCTTGCCTTAAGCGATGATATTATCTTGTGAAATTCCTTTTCCTGGCTCATCCTGGCTCAAAAATCTCCCCCACTGAGCACCTTGTGACCCCCACTTCTGCCCACCAGAGAACAATCCCCCTTTGTAATTTTCGTTTACCTACCCAAATCCTATAAAACGACCCCACCCTTATCTCCCTTCACTGACCCTTTTTGGACTCAGCCCACCTGCACCCAGGTGAAATAAACAGCCATGTTGCTCACACAAAGCCTGTTTGGTGGTCTCTTCACACGGACGCGCATGACAGATTATACATTTGGCATACTCAGCCAGGCATGGTGACTCATGCCTGTAATCCCAGCACTTTGGGAGGCTGAGGTGGGTGGATCATCTAAGGTCAGGATCACCTGAAGTCCTGTACCCGAGCCGGTCTTGATGGCATGTGCTATATAATCCCAGCTACTCAGAAGGCTGAGGCAGGAGGATCTGGGTTCACTACATCCTCCACCATGCTTGAGCTCAGGAGATGGTAGTTACAGTAAGCCCAGATTGCGCCACTGCACTCCAGCCTGAGGGACAGAGGGAGACTTCATCTCAAAAAAAAAAAAAAAAAAAAGTATGTCCTACATAATATGTTGTAAATGAAAGAAAAGCAAGTGAAGTGAATGAGAAGAAACAAGAGTCTTTATAGGTACATACCAAGACATTAATTAGTTGGAGAGTAGGGCATGTACTGAAAGGAATGAGGCACATCCCCCATATATCTCCCAACTTCCTGAGCCCAGCACAAACACATTCCTCCATATTTCTTTCAAACTTCAGAAAAACATCACCTGGGAGATCTCCGATAAGGAATGCTAAATGTATAATGTTAACCAATTGTAATGCAGTAACCGAGAGAACTACCTTGTTCCCTGTAACTTTACATATCCTGTTTACATCGGGCTATAAAAAACAAGCACTCTCATTGTTCGAGGCCCTCTTATATGCTGTAGAATGGAGGGACCAAGTTCGAACTTGTAGTAAAGATCCTTGCCGCTTGGCTTTGACTCTGGACTCTGGTGGTCTTCTTTGGGGAACAAACGATCTGGGTATAACATCTGGGGGCTCGTCCGGGATTCCCCAAGCCCACCAGACCCCTGGTCAATGGATCTACTAAGATTGATCTACTGATAGGTGAGCCGGCTCATCTCCGTTTGTCTGTCTGTGTCTGTTCTGAATCTGAATCTGTGACTCGCGAGGTCTGAAACTGGAGCTGGCGCCGTCCTGGCGGACGCGCTATAGGACAACCAGCAGAGACCGGTGGGAGACATCCCCTGGCTCTTGTCTGATCTAAATTGTGATCTGGGCTGCGGGAGCGAGATCGCGATCGGAGCAGCTAACTCTGACCCAGGCTACCGGTGCGCACTTGCGATCTGGGCTGCCAGAGCGTGGTCGCGATCTGAGCAGCTAACTCTGACCCAGGCTACCGGTGCGCGCTTGCGATCTGGGCTGCCGGAGCGTGGTCACAATCCCAGCAGCTAACTCTGACCCGGGCTACCAGTGCGCACTTGCGATCTGGGCTGCCGGAGCGCGGTCGCGATCCGAGCAGCTAACTCTGACCCGGGCTGCCGGGGCGCGCTCGCGATCTGAGCTGCTGGAGCACGTTTGCGATCTGGGCAGCAGCTGTCTCTGACCCAGGCTACTGGTGCGCACTTGCGATCTGGGCTGCCGGAGAGCAATCGCGATCCAAGCAGCTAACTCTGACCCGGGCTGCCAGGGCGCGCTCGCGATCTGGGCCGCCGGAGCGCGTTTGCGATCTGGGCAGCAGCTGTCTCTGACCCGGGCTGCCGGGGCACGCTCGCGATCTGGGCCACCGGAGCGCGTTTGCGATCTGGGCAGCAGCTGTCTCCGACCCGGGATGCCAGGGCGCGCTCGCGATCTGGGCCACCGGAGTGCGTTTGCGATCTGGGCAGCAGCTGTCTCTGACCTGGGCTGCCGGGGCGTGCTTGCAACTAGATATCAGTCAGATTTCCTTTACAGGGATTCTAACCCACCTTCCTTTACAGGAAGAGACTACAAATTATTACAGGATGGGTAATACCCAGAGCACTCCTCTATCTCTCCTTATAAGTAATTTCAAGGAAGTAAGAGCAAGGGGCCATGATCTTAGTATAGATATCAGAAAGGGAAAGCTAATTACACTGTGCTTCTCCGAATGGCCTGCCTTTGATGTGGGGTGGCCACCCGAAGGGATGTCCGACTTGCTGTCATCACTAAAGTCCAAGATTTTCCTACCTGGGCGTGTGGGCCACTTGGATCAAATCCCATATATCCTCATATGGCAGGACCTGGTTGAGAACCTGCCTTCTTGGCTGTCACCTTTCCAATTAGCCCCTGAACCTTGTAAGGCACTAGTTGCTCGGCTGCTAAAATCCAAGCAGCCGATTGTCCCCCCCATCCTGTTTTACCTGATAGCGGGGACCCACTGTTCACAGAACCCCCTCCGTACCCCTCCGGGCCACAGGCCCCCGCCCCCCAGGCTGAGC